CCAGGGCTGCCATGGGGTGACGGGGCCTGAGCGGGGACAGGACACTGCCAGGAGTCCCACGCTGCTGCGGCCACTCTCGGTGTCCTGCCTGGGCCAGGGCAGAGCCCAGCAGACACGGGGTATCAGGAGTACAGGGCAGCACCGTGCTCTTCCCTGGAGCTTCCTGAGGGACACTCTGGGTGTCCACTGTTGCAAACACTCGCAGTCAGACTCAGGTGTGAAGGCACTTGGGTCAGAAAACAAAGACACCCCGTGTGTGGGGTGGACRCAGTGCTTGGAGAAGAAAGAGGAAAACGCATGTTGTGTTTTCCCAAGGAYAGCTGCAGTGAGGCCCTGGCACAGCAATGTCCTCAGCCTGGCATCAGTCCTAGGGGGGCATTCACCAGGAGGCAGGACTCTTTGTCCCCTGTGWTCTCTCCTGTGCCCGAGGCCTGGGGATGTTTCTCCTTGACCTGTGACCACTGGAGCTGACCCCTCAGCCCCACCAGGCTGAGCAGCCAYCCTGGGGCTGGGTCTGCCCATGGGGTCCAGGCTGTGAGGGCACAGGCCCCACAATGAAGGTGTGAATCTCAGCTGGGCTGAGAACAAGGGTTTGTCCTTAGGGTCCCCAGCAGCCTGTACCTCTGCCAGGCCTGAGCCCCTGAGCAGTTGGCACGGCAGTCCAGGAGCAGTTCTCTYTGGGCTCAAAGCAGGGAATTTCTTTTCCCTGGGATCCTTCCCTCAAAGGCAGGCAGATACCTGCAGCTCCCCCAGCCTGTCCTGCTGCTCAGGGCCGGTGTCCCATGGGTGCTCTGGTTCAGGGCATACCCATGGGCATGTGTTCCCTGCAAGCACCAGCTGGGCCCACACAGCGAAGTTCCTATGTGGAACTGCAGTAATTTTGTACAGTGTGATTCCTGTGTGTTCTGGGTTGTGGGATTTTGATACACTGGTAACAGGGTTTATACCAGATCTATTTTCAGAATATATTTATACAAAATGTTATAAAAATTAAAAAATAAAAAGCTTTTGTTTAAAAACAAGCTAGCATGAGAGCACCCAGAGTTGCTGGCAGGGAGCAGTGGTGGGAGAACACCAGAGGCAGGTCACTGCACTCCTGCACCACTGGTGCTGATTCTTTCGCCATAATTAGTCATGTAGTAAATAAAGCCAAGCACCCGGGAAAGAGGATTCCCCAGCACTGATCCTGATAAGCATCTTTCAAAACAGCCCCCACCTCATTTTCATCATCTTCTGCCCTTTTCCCTGTTAAATGGAGCCAAGCAAGAGGCAAGCCCAGCCCAGGGCTCTTGGTAAGGATAAGAAGATGCCTCATTCATAAGAGGGGGAAGCCAGAGGTGCTGCTCCCTGCCTCAGCAAGGCAAACGGAAGKGAAAGAGGCTGGATGCTGTGTCAAACAACTCTTTATTCAAGTTATGCAATATACAAAAGTTGAGAGTTGATGTCATTTCAGTATTAAAAAGCCGATTGCTCAATCTCACCCGGGGCTTGTTCAGTCCCTTACCTGAGCTTCTRCAAGAGGAAACGAAGCCCAGAGCACAGTCATGTATGGGACACCTTGTGTAACAGCTCAGCTCTCTCAAGAGCAGGTCAAGGTCCTTCAAACAAAACAACTGGTGTGGAGTTGGGCTTTTGGCTTTGGGAAATTAGAAGAACAGACTAGGTAGGGAATTAAAAAATAGACTTCATTAGGAGTGGGAAACAAGAAACCTTTGGGCACCAGAGTGAACAACACAGTTCCCACAGCAGCAGGGGTTTCCTTGTGGCAATGAGCCCATCCCCAGGAGTGGGAACCCAGCTGGGCTATGGGAGGGAAGCTCCCAGACCTCTCCCTCCACAGCTGGGCMGTTTGGCACAGATGTTGAGTCCAGCAAGAGCAAGGTCTAAGCRGAAGACTTCACCCGGCCTGAGCCAGACTTGGAGCTGAGGAGCTTCTCCACCATGGTGCGTGCGTAGCGGAGCCGGCTGGCCAGCTCCCGGCAGCAGCCGTGCTCCTCAATCAGGCTCAGCTTGTACGTGCGGAAGTCCCGTTTCTCATCTATGTATGTGACAGCAGCCATGAGAGGGCACAGGATGACCTTGGTGTGGTCCTGGGGGGAGAGAACACACAGTCACTGAGSATTGTGCGCCTTGGGGCTGCATTTCCTCTGGATGAGGCAACTCAGCAGCACCCAGAGTGTGGTGACAAGGTCCCTCTGCAGAATTCYTTCAGAGTGCAGCAATTGGGAACAACCAGGTCAACAGGGCTGCACCTGGCTGCAGCAGCCAACCTGGTACTCAAGGGCACAGCCCCTCATGAGCGAGGAGTGTCTGGGGACCTCAGGTACCAGCGCAGATAGCTCCCAGTGCTCACTCCCTGGGCAAAACCTTGCCTCAAGTCATCCCCTCCTGCCACCTTCCGAGCAGCACCACACGCAGCCAGAGCCACGGCCCTGGAAAGAGCCTCACCTGGAAGAAGTTGATCTGCACGGTGCCGTTGCTGAGGTGCAGGATGATGGCACTGCGGGTCCGGAACCAKGTGCACAGGTAGGGCAATCGGGCCAGCTCGTCCCCTTCCCGTGGTGTGATGTTCGCCCCCGCCTTCAGCAAGTGCTCACTCATGTAATTCCGGAAGTACTTCAGTAGTGTTATCTGAAAATGGGATGGGCTGTGAGGGGCTGAGGGTGACCCCAGATACAGGGGGAGTACAGGGGCTTCCATCAGAGTCCCAGAGGAGCCTCCTTACATCTTTCAGACCTTGGTGTCACTGTGAAAGCTTGTGCAAATCCTCAAACTTAACTCTGATCACTTTGCTGAACACTTCTGTAAGTCATGTGAGCACTTATTTCTGTCAAACTGCGCATAAATGAGCCTCAGATAGCAATTCGAGCTGCTAGTGTCTGTCCTTGGGACAACGTGTCACCAGCAAGAGGAAGGCTGCAGAGTGCCAGTGACCTCCACTTATGAGTGTTTTTCCCTGGAACCCACCCCACCACCAAAGCTGGAAAGAGTCTCACCACCCCCCAGGCCAGGTCTCCCCAGGACTGACCTTCTTATTGAGTGCAGACGGGTAGGATCTCACAGTGAAGTAGGACTCTGTGTTGTTCTGCTCAATGTACTGCAGGTTGTCCCCATCGTTGTACATGATGAGACGAGTGGAGTCATTGAAGAGAACCCCAACGCTGTTGTCACAGAGCTGGTAACCTGCCCAGAAAGGACCCCATGAGACCTCCAAACTCAGGGGAACACCAGCCATAGGAAGTACCAAAACCGATGGTTTATCACCCAGGGATTCCCTGACAGCCACCCCACCCAGTCTCTGCCAGGCCTTCTCTTTGGGGAGCTCTGGGTGGCACTTTTCCAGCTCTGGATTTGACATCTTCCTTATTGCATCACCCATTTCAGAAACAGCCTCAGCTGCCACTGTAGGTCCCTGTGCAGGCTGGGGAGAGCTTGGTCACCTCGCACACAGGTAACCATTGTCCACCTTAAAGTGGCCAGGGCTGATGGTCAGTGACCACTGCTCTGGATTCCTGGGTATTTGGTAAGATTCCTGGTAGTAGCCTTGGACACACACACTGGGATGTGGCGATTAAACACCCAGACCTAGGAAATGCCCAAATCCAGGCTTCTCCCAGCCCCTTCAAGAAAGCCTGAAGCATTGCCATCCATAGTATTTACCAAGTCCATATTTATCCGAGTAGTCCACCCATTTGCTAACCCAGAAGATGGGAATGCAGGCTGGGTCCTCAGCTTCTTCTGCAGGAAGAAAGCAGTTTGTTAGGAGACATTTCCCACAGCCTGTGCACCCCACAAGGTCTTTGGGCTATCCCCAGGCTCACCTTGTCTCACTGCTACTCTCTCGGAGGGCTTGGCTGCATTGACTGCAGTCAGCTGCTGCAACATGTCAGCCAAGTGGCAGCTGACAGCATCTCCCAGCTCCCGCAGCCCTGCCGTTTCCTCCTTGTCCGGCAAGTTCTCCTGTGCAGGGCTGTCTAGTCCTGGGCCAGAGAGAAGAGTGTGGAGATGTGACCAGGGAGGTTTCCAAAGGCACCAGACTTAYACCCAACCCCAGGTATAGGCAACAYTTCAYACAYAGAATGGGTCATGTGGTCCCACTTCCCTGCTCCAACAGGTAAAGTCCAGAGCACAGGACATATTTGGGGGGCTCTGGAATATCTCTACTGTGCGAGACACCACACACCCTCTCTAGGCAATCTGTTCAGTGTTTGGGCACTACGCAGAAAGAAATTCTTCCTCATGTTCAGGTGGATCTTTGCAGGCATCAGTTTGTKCCCATTACAGAGCTGAAGTGAACAGTGTGCTTCCTCCCTGCCTTGGTCCCGGGCAGAGCAAGGAGAGCTCCCTAATCCACAAAATGCTTTGAGCTTCCATAAGGATCAGAGATGATGTGATGGAGGCACACTCAAAGCTGAGGATGCTGCTGGAGGCCAGGCAGGCTCCCTGCAGTGCTGCAGCCCAGCCTCACCTGGGCACCCACACTCACCTTTGTTGAGGGCGGTCAGCGGCTTCCGCCCACCGAGTTCCATCCCACTGGGAGCCAGGGAGAACCGGGGTGCAATGGTCAGGCAGCTGGTGGGCAGGCGGCTGGGGAGGTACCCTGAGGTAAAGAACTCGTCGTTCAGAAGCTCATTGATGGTTGGGCGCGTGGCAGGGTCGGATCTCAGCATCTTCTGGATGAGGTTTGCGGCCACGGGGTCGATGTGCTGAGGGACAGGTGGAATTTAGGGATGGGTTAGGGAACAATGTGTGCTAGTGACAAATGAATGGGATTTCCAACCCAGGGAAGTTCCATTTGGAGCAGAGCTCCAGTGCTGCATCAGGCAAGCAGGACACAAGCCTGGGGAAAGCAGAATTGGGCAGCACAGAAAACTGGCTCTGAAMAGCACCCAAAGCCTGACTTGAGCCTGACACAAAACTCATCAGCAGTGGGATGAGCTGGGGACCTGGCCCAAACCTCATGGACTTTCCCGTGTCCACCCGCACACGGTAACAGCCCAGCTCAGAGTTTTGCTGGATCAGGCAGTGGGGAGCTGCTGGCTCCCCATGAGGTTCGCTCCACCCCAGCCTGAACCAGCCCCTCCCAGCAGTGACAGCCCCTGCCCTCTTATGCGAGAGCCTATGGAGTGCCAGACACAGCAAGAGGCTGACCAAGCACCACTGTGAGGTGAACAGATCCTCCATGGGAAGTGTTATACCTTGGGAATGGTATACTCGTTCTTCTTGATCCGGATGTACGTGTCCTTTAGACAAGAAGTCTCAAAAGGCGGTTTTCCCACTAGCAGAGTGTACCTGGGCATTCCCAGACAAAAGGGTGTCAGTTTTACAAAAGAAACTCAGATTGTGTGCAGAAGCAACCCGGTTCTGAGCACAGCCAGGGGCTTTCCTGGCAGAGGGAACATGCTTAGCATTAAACACACTGACAGCTATGCGGGGTGTGCCTGGCTCCTGTCCCCTGGAAAGGGAAGCTGGGATCTAGCACCCAGCAGGGGAAGTTTCAGTTAGGAAGCRTGGGCTTTTGGAAACGCYCCAGGACAACCATGCTGTGTGRGCAACCAGCCTRYGGACACACACCTCAGCATAGGGGARCATGGGGAAGGYTGGGAGGTGCCTGGCAGCAGGACTCAGCCAGCAGCTGTGGGGACAGTGATCTGGAGCTTTGGCTCACACCGAAGCTCAGAAGGGTCAAGGAGACCAGAACCACAGGGATCGCCCATCCCCACGGCCTCTCAAAGGCGATTTGACTCACATGATGCAGCCAATGGACCAGATGTCTACCTCGAAGCTGTGCCCCTTCTTGCCCAGCACCTCTGGGGCAATGTAGTTGGGGGTCCCACACAGGGTCTTCTTGCGCTCYCCATCGTATTCTACCTTGGTGGCCAGGCCAAAGTCACCTAGAGAGACAGGGAAAGGGGATATGACCGAGATGCCCTGGCTGGCTGGTCCCTGGGCTGAGGACCCTGCCACTTACCGATCTTCACCTCCATGTCATCGCTGAGGAATAGGTTGCCCAGCTTGAGGTCGCGGTGGATGACACGGTGGCTGTGCAGGTACTGGCAACCCAGGATGGTCTGGCGCAGGTAGTACCGCACCTCGGGCTCGCTGAGCGCTTTCCGCCGCTTGTGCAGCTCCAGCAGCGACTGCGGGGAACGGTCGGTCAGTCAGTACCGGGGAAAAGGTTGCAGGGACGAGGTCAGAAACCCAGGACGCGGGGAAGGGGACAGTCAGTACCCGGGGGACACCGACACCCGCCCCCAGCTCCTCACCCTGCGACGGCAGAGCTCCAGCACGACGTAGACAAAGTCGTCGTCCTCGAARAAGCCCTGGAAGCCGACGACGTGGCGGTGGGAGAGGCTCTGGTGGATGGCGATCTCCATGGACATCTTCTCCTTYTGATGCGGCTTCACCAGCAGCGACTTGGGCACAACCTTCCCCGCGAACACCTCCCTGCTCTCGGCCTCGGCCAGCTCATAGCACCGCGCGAAGCCGCCCTTTCCAAGGAACCGTCCGCGCACGAAACTGCGCCGGGTGCGCGGGTCCACGAGCACCTTGGGCACCTCCTTCCCCGCCGCTGCCGCCGCCGCCCGGGCAGGCTCGCTCATGCTGTGCCCGTGCGGTGCCGCTGCCGGGGGAGCGGCAGGTCCCGGGTCCCTGTACCAAAGCAGCGGGGAGTGCCGGGAGAGCGGCGGGTCCCCGGTTCCTGTACCGAAGCAGCGGCGGGTCCCCGGTCCCTGTACAGAAGCAGCGGTGGGTGCCGGGAGAGCAGCGAATCGCGGGTGTCTGTAGTGAAGCAGTGGCGGGTGCCGGTGTCCCGGTGCAGTTAGGAATGCCGGGTGCCGGTGTCCCGGTGCAGTTAGGAATGCCGGGTGCCGGTGGATCCGGGCTGAGCTCGGCACGGCTCCGTCCGGCTGCGATTCAAAGGCGGCGCCGGGGCCGTTACCGCGCGCGGCCGCTCCCCATTGGCCGCAGGATTTAAAATCCACGCGGCGCGCGGGGCACCATGGGAGCGCGAAGGAGCACGTGCCGGCAGGGGCGGGGCCGGGCGCGCTCGGGCACGCCCCCAGGTAGCGCGCGCTCGTGTGCGCGTGCGCTGGCGGCCGTTGGTTGTGGCCGCGCGCGCTCCCGCCGGCCCCGGGCACGCGCGCGGCCCCGCGAGACTCCCGAGCGCGCGCACGAGGCGCTCCCTGAGGGACATTCCCTTGGGATTCGCACCCGGCCAGGATTGTCCCGGGACAGRGCCTGCGGCGGCACCGTCCGCTCCCCGCAGCTTCCATGTCCCGCCGGTTCCCGGCGGGATCCCCACGGGTACCCGAGCACCCGGTCTTTGGGCTGGTTTTTATTCCGTAGGCGCCCTCCACTCCTGCTGCCCCTCGGTCCCCTCGGGTGACAGTTCCGTGGGGCTGTCACTGACCTCGCTGCCTCCTCTGCCCCTCACCGCAAGGACACACTGCCCACTGACCCCCCCACTCCAGAATCCCTCACTCCAGGGTCTCCAGCACTCCCAATGCTGCCTCCTGCGCCCCACTTGCCAAGAGAAGTCACCATGGGATGTTCCTATCCCTTAACTCTATTACCAATGAAAAATCACACAAAACCAGCAGCATGGCCTCAGCCCAGGCACCTACTCTGCCTCCTGGCATACACAGCTCCATGGGCTGAAGGCAGGAACTTAGTATCACTTGGCCTCCCTCCCCCACCAGTAGAAGCTGTTTCTTTCAGCCCTGGCTAATAAAGAACAGACGTTCCTGACCAGCATATCCTGCACTTTTCYGTCACCAGGGTATCCTGCAGAGCCCAGTSCACRAAGCTGGGAGCCCTGCAGGTCACCRTAGCCAAGTTCAGGTGTCATTCCCACCATGGAGCTGGACCATCTCGGGAGATTCTGCTCCTCACTAAGCAGGCATAGCCCCCCCCTCGCCTGGTGACTGAGAGACTTTCCCACACAGCCCCTCACAGTCCCGCTCAGCTCCTCATGCTGAGCCATCAGCACCTGGCCCAGTGGCACAGGGAGGGAGTCGAGTGTTCCCAGGGACTCTGAACACCCTCAAATCCAGCAGCACACCCTGCCCATCCTGGTCAGAGCAACCCCGAGCAAAGCACACAGGCGATCAAKGAAGCAACACAGCAGCTTGGGGGTGGAAGTGCTCAGTGTTTGTACAAGATTCCTGAAAGAAGGCATTCCCCTCCCTGTGGGATACGCTTCCCCRTTCCTGCAGCTCCTCTGGCTACAGGCACAGCCTCATGTGAGTCGTTTTACTGCACCATGCTGGACGGAAGGCTGCCAGCAGATCTGGGACTCCCCAAGCTGCAGCCCACTGACACTCCATCTTCCCAAAGCTGGCAGAGCCGGAGAGGTGAGCCCAGGTCAGAGGGACGCTTCAGAGGCAGGAGGAGAAAGTGGCCAGTGTAAGGAATGTTAATAATGCTGGGTGTTTAGGATCTTCAGTGGTGGCTTGGTTTTAGGCCCTGGCAGAGGCCACCTTAACAGAGACAACAAAAGAGGTTTTAATTAAGGCAGAAGAGTCAGCTCAAACTGTTAGAAGGAAGAGTAGGCCGAGAAAAGCGTAATTGAAATGATGCATCCCTTTGTACACTACAGCTCTGTTTTCAGGATATTGTGGAAATTCATCACTCAGACTTTTCCAGCTGCCATCCCACTCCCRAACTCATATCCCTTCTCCCACTCCTCTCCCTGCCACTGCAGCTGCTGATCAAGYGATCCCAGTGAAATGCACAATGTGGTGTTGAAACTTGGAGGTGACAACACAGCAACACAGTACAGACACCCCACTCCTGCCAGACACTGCCAGAGACACCCAACAGCAAAGCAGTGCTCTGAACACCTGACTTGGCAGGAAATCTCTCAAGAAGTCCCAAACTTGTCAGGTCTGTAACAGAGGAGGCCTCTCCAGCTGCTCAGAGGGAGAAAGCAGCTGTTTCACACTGCACTACACTTTTTTAATGCATAGACAGTCAGAATAGCATGTAGCAGTCACAGAACAAGGGACTGTGGCTCATGCCCAGACACAGTAGGAACCTCAATCTAGTCTGAAGTTTGATTTGAACAGTCACAATGAGTCACTTGAACAACTGAAGAGGCTTTAATTTATGTACAGTAAAAATACAAACCAGTCAGTGGTTTTACATGTGATGAACAGCAGCTACTACAGGTTAGTACTTGTACAGCTGTTTGCTGTTAAGGGGTATCAGCATTTGCTACACAGATTAGCTGAGGCTCCAGGGCTGTTCATCCAGTCACACACCTACCACACACCTATTAAGTGTCCTGGCCCCAGCTGCTACACTACTACATGCAGGAGGCCCTGTTTAAAACTTAGAGCAGGGCTAGGGTTAAGCTTTAATAGAGCACAACCAGAATAGACAGACTCTTGTCTGTTTTCAGGTACACAAGCATCAAATGCCTCCAACTTTCAGGGCTGCTCTCAGCAAGAACTATTCCTGCTCAACCAGGTGTCCAAAATGAAATGCTCACTCTAAGAAGTCTGAGTCTTGTTCTTAAGTTTCATAATGCAGAAAAGCATCAGAGAGCTTTCTGCAAATACAGACACTAGGTAATAAATGGGGACAATTGCAGTACCCTCTCACATTTAATTACCCACTTTCTGCTGCACTGAATTCTGTGAGTGACATGGCAATCCTCTTTCCAAAGGCCTTTGGCTCTTTAAGRTCTGTGATATTCAGGCAGTGGCACTGACCCCAAGAACACTAGCCTTGTGGGGTAAGAGCAMAGGACTGATGTCAGTCTGCTTCAGGAGTAAAAAGCTAAGAAACATCCTGTCAGGCACAGAAGACAGGTGTCAGTGTCAGCCAAAATTCCTAAAGCCAATAGCAGAATGAGGAACCCCCGGAGAGAATCCCAGGGAAAAAAGGAAGAGGCCACACACCTCAGTATGCTGGACTATTGGAGCAGYAAATATTGTGGCAAAGGAAAGGCCGGGGTCTAATGAGCCCCAGAGCACACCCAAATAGCCCTGCTGGTGTGCAGACTGCTCCTAGCAAACCTAAAYCTAGCTTTGGGCTAGGACAGAACTGAACAGACAGGCTGAGGCTGCGGAACACATCAACTCTGCCTCAGTCCCCAGCTGCTGCCCCAAGGCAGGTGTTTCAGCYTTCCCAGCTCCAGAACATTCAGTGGCACAATTCAGACAACATGGAATGGAGTACATTGGATGAACATACAAAGTTTGAACAGGACACAGCAGCTTTCACGAGGGACTGCTTGGCCAGGCCAGTGGTGCTGAGGCACACTCACAGAAGTGCTCAGGAGAGTGCAGGGCTCTGGCCACACTGGGTRACACCCCTCTCCCCACCCACAGAATGCTTCTGTGTGCCTGAAACATGGGAAATGGGCTACTAGACCTGAGTGAGTGGCAAGAACTTCTGGTAATAGCTCTTGGTAACGTCAATCATGAGTTCCTGGGTGCATTCCGGGAGCTCCCCAGAGAAGAGTCCTGGAAGAACAACAAGAGTATGGCCATCAATCATCATGTACCCATGTACCATGCACTAAAACGGAAGTTTCACCAGTTAAAACTGTTACTTTTCAGTGCAGCACATGCCTGACACCTTTATGTTTAGGCACTAAGTGCTAATAGGCACCTTTGTTATAGCAATCTCATTCCAAACATGAATATCCATGTTATCCTACTTCTGTGCACCCTAAGATTGAAGGAACATACCTGGGCAGCCCGAGAAGACAGTGAAAGGTGGGACTACAGTTTCAGGAGGAAGTACTGTGTTGTCTAAGATTTTGCAGCAGTCTTTCAAAACACATCTACGTCCCTAAAACAGAAAAAGTTTATATTTACAACACTACAAACACAAGATTATCTGATTATCACTGATATGTTACCTACATTGCAAGAAGAGTAATTGCTCAAAGCACATTCCGTATAAGRGATCACAGGTATAAATCTTCACCTTGACTGAATGTTCCTCCCAAAAGAATTAACTTTTCTTTTTAAGGAAAAATGTCTGCTTGCTTTCAACTACCACAGGTACAGGCAGCTGCACATTAACATGTCAGTGTGCAAATTGGCACCTAAACCTGAGTCAAGGAGGACCAGCAAGACCTTCTCTACCTCAGCACAGAGTAGCCTTGACTATTTGGTGTGTTATTTACACAGAAACACAATTCTACTTGTATTTTGGGACCAGGCTGCCTTCCTTGGGCAGTTTCAGTAGGCACAAGGAACAACACTGTTTGGATGGATTTTCCAGCCAGCAGCAGCTTAACCATCGTCCTCAGAAAAGTAAACCTGAAAGCTCAGCTTCCAGCAGAAAACCAAGAGGATCAGGAAGGAACAGCACAGAGTAGGTGAGACTGCTCCAGCCAGCTGGTGGAAACACCTGTCAGGTGTTGTCACAAGGCCTCAGCAGCATCCAAGTGTTTACAGAAAATACAGAAATGGCACTCACAATGACACAGTTCTTGCCTATGTGCACATAGGAGCCGATCTGGGCTGCATTGACAACACAGTCCTCTTCTATGAAGACATGGTCACCAATGTGGAGAGGGAAGAAAGCCACCCTGCAACAGGAGAGGTATTTGTTTGTGTCCAATACATAAACTGACACTGCCAGACCCAAAATCACCCCATGGAGTCTCCTGTCCCCAGATGGATTAAAAGAGGGGGATCTGGTGCTAATAGAGACAGAACAGTAACCGGGTTTCTCCTCTCCAAAGGACAGTCCAAATGAGAAGGAAAACATTGTGAATAAACACAGAAGAACAGAAACAAGCTCTTCACTTTGCTATTCTAATCTATTCCAGCCTTCCCATCTAACAGTCTGAAGGGAACACCAACCCTCAAGGCACAGCTCAGCATCTGAGGAAAAGGCAGGTTTGAGGGACACATTTCTGCAAATTGCTGCAAAAGGAACAGAGTTCTCTGAACACAAGACTCAGTCAAGCTGACAGATTTTTTTAGGTATCTCCCTAAAGGAAGGGGCCTCTTACCCTTTACTGAACTTCTTGAAGGGTGGTCTGATGACGCTGCGGCTCTTCACCACGCAGTGCCGTCCGACCCGCACGTTCGCCAGGTCACCACGGATGATGCAGTCGTTCATAACTATTGTCTRCAGAAGGACAGACAGGTAAACGAGCTCCCTTTGCTACCCGAAGAAGCACTTATTATACAGACTCCTGCCGAGGTCTGATCCCTCCAGCAAGATTACCTTAGAGACGATTCTTTCAGTCAAAAGAAAAGTGACAACAAAGCAAAAGTACAGTAGATTAGAACCACCAATTGTGCTCCTGTCATGCCACTGAGCAGCACAGAGCCAGGCTTCGGCATAGAACAGAATCGTGCTGTTCCGCGGATGAAAGCAGCACGGGCTGCTCGCGGCAGAGGAAGGTCAGTGATGCTGCGGGAGAGCAGCGCTGGGTACCGCAGACAGGGCACGGGGGCACGGGGAACCGGGTGGGGACACGGCAGCCGCCGCCCGGCGCTCACCTTGCCATTGAGGACGATGTTCTGGCTGCCGCACAGCACGGACTGCCGGCTCACCTTGTTGCCGGAGGCCTGCGGGGAGAACGGGCGGGTCACGGCGGGTGTCCCCCGCCCCGCCGCCCCCGCAACGCGCCGGCCAGCCCGGCTCGGCCCCGCGACCGCCCCCTCAGCCCGCGCCCCCGCTCCCCGAGCCCCCGCACCGTCTCGATGTACTCGGACTTGTTGTAGAGCATCTCGCTGAGCTCCATGGCCGCTCCCGCCCGGCCCCGCCCGGCCCCGCTCGGCTTCCGCTGCGTCACCTCCGCCCGCGCCCCGGTCCCGCCGCTCCCGGTTGCCATGGAGGCACCGCCGGCAGCGGCCGAGGCGGCGGCAGCGGCGGCGCTGAGCGGCGCCGACAAGGAGAAGGTGCGGGGCCGGGCGGGGCCGGGCGGGGTGGCGGGGCCGGGGCCGGGACCGGTCCTGTGCCGGTCCCATCCCCACGGGTGTCTCTTGCAGCTGCGGGAGAAGCTGGCGCTGCTGAGGCGGGAGTACAGCGAGACCGTCATCCGGCTGCGGGTGAGTGACCCGGGCCGGGACGGGGGGGCACCGGGGCACCGCGAACCCGTCCCAGCCCCGCCGGGGTCTTGTGTGTCCGCAGCGGGCGCGGCGAGCCGAGCGAGCCAGGAGCCACGGCCGGCGGGAGCGGAGCCCCCCGGGTGGGAGCCGGCGAGAGCGGGATTCCTCAGGTGGGAGACGGTGGGAACGGGATCCCCCAGGTAGGAGCCGGCAGGCCGCCCTCCYCTCCTGGACAGGGCGGTGGGAGCAGCCAAGAGACACTGCTGCCCCTTAGTGCCCCTGTGGATTGTCCTGCCGAGGATGGACCCGACCCTGTGACCCTCACTCTGGGCCCTGCTGTCCCCTTGGCCACTGCTGCCACATCCACTGYCCCCACGCCCTCACACGGCCCTTACCCTGGGCTGAGCTGTGGTCTGCTGTAATATCTGCTCTGCTCCCTCCTTGCCAGGTCTGCGATGCCCCAATCCAGACTGTAAGATTCCCATCTTTTCCTCCTAACAAAGGATAATTTTACCATTTGATGTTTTTTCTCAGACAGGACTTTAGGAGTACTTTACATGTGACATTTTTCCCCCCAGGTTCTAGAGATAACACATCTCCTAGTGCTGACAGAGGTGGGCCCTCTCAGTTACAGACTAAAACCTGCTCTGATCCTGACACAGAGAAGACAACATCTGTCACAGTTAAGCATGTTCCAGAACTCTGTAGCAATGAGGTTAACCCACAGGACTGCTCCCAGGCAGAAAGCATTCAAGCCAGCCAGGAAAACCCATTCTGTGGGATCATCAGGCCTGTCCCTGAGGAGAAAACGCCCCAAACCTCCAGAGGCATGATGAAGCTACGGAGACGGACGAAGACTCTGGAATCAAAGGGAAGGAAATCRGTGCATGAAGTGCATCCAATCAGCWCTGGTGAAATGGTGAAAAATCAAATTTCCAGTGCAGAGGAGTTCCAGTCACCAGTGTTCAGGCGTAGCAGCCTCTCACACACTGAGGAAYCCACTCAAAGAGCATCTGGGGCAGTGCCTGTGCAGGGAGAAGGAAATAGTTTCATTCCTGATGCAGCATCAGAAGTGGTACAGGATGTGTTTGAGGGCAGTGTCACTGTAGGRGAGCCTGAGCTGTCCCCACATGTGCTGAGGGACAGCAGGGACATCTGGCAGCCTGAGTCCTCAAGGGCTGTGGCCACACCTGGTAGACGTGAGCCATATTCACCGCATGGAGACTCTACTTTACTTGACCCCAGAGGTGATGGAGGAGAAGAATCCCCCAGTATAATAAAACAACCAGATGGTGAGAGTTTGTGTGAAGATCAGGAAGGATTACGTGGACTCCTGGATTTAATGTCAGAAAATGAAATATTGTCTGACAGCAAAAATAACACTGTAATCGAGGAGAGCAAAAACCATGAAGGACATCAAAGTGACACTGATACTTTAAATCCCTGTCCTGCAGATCATGCTCTGGACAATGCTGAAGAACTGCTGGAGAATCAACAGCTTGAAATTCAGTCAAGACTTTCTCCTCCTGACCAGACAACAGCTCCCGAAGGCACTCTGAGCTCTTGCACGGTGGTTGAAGGGCTGCTCTTTCCCGTCGAATACTATGTCCGGACAACTCGCCGCATGTCGAATTGCCAGAGGAAGGTGGACCTGGATGCTGTAATCCTCAGCCAGCTGGGCAGGAGCAAGAAAGGTCAGCGGAGTAAATGCAAGCAGAAAGATGCAAACCCCAATCAGCCCTCCCWGGAGAGAGCCGATGGTGATTTGGAKTCAAGGGTTGTGCCATTTCCTTTTCTTGGGGCAGAAAATGATCCAGCAAACTCAAGTAGTTCTCAGAAAGCTCTTCCTGTGTCYAGCAGCAGCAGCAGCACTTCGCTTGGATCCATTTCTCAGAAAAGCATCACTAGCACAAGGCAAGAGCAGAGACGATCCCAGAGGAAACAGAAGGGAAGAAGAAAGTCTGCCTGTAAGGCCCCCATGCATCCACTGTCACAGGATATAGAGAGTCAGGATCCCATAATGGCCAATGAAAGCAGTGCTGTGCTGGTAAATGAGAACCAGAGTGAAAAGGAAAACTGTGATGCTAACTTTGAAAGGTCATCCTCAGATGAGAGGAGATTGTCTGGTGCTGCAGCACTGGGGTCTGCAGGGACAGGAATGACTGGAGCTGCACAGCCAGCAGGTCCTGATCCTCCTCTGAGCGGGAGCCAAGTGCCAGACAAATGCCATAAGACTCTGTTAGAGCTTCACAGCAGCGATTCCCTGAGCCCAAGGAGTGAAACGTTTTCCAGCCATGTGGGAGATGTGGCAGCCAACTCTCCCATGTGTCTGGGTGATAAACATCCAGTGGAGCRTGTGAAGAGGCAGCGAGGAGCCTGYGGGRCTGAACAGCTCCCCGGGGTCAGCATCCCTCTGCGCCGCTCCCTGCGCTGCTCTGCGARACACAGGGCCCAGAGAGGCTCAACAGGTACTTCCTCCCATATAAACTCCCCAAAATGCCCCATTCCCCAAGGAATGTCCTCATGAKTGCAGGCCCTGCTGTTCACACCCTGCTGTGGTTATGCAAAAAAATGATAGGAGTTGACTTATTTTTTAAAAACAAGATTTATTTTTTTAAAAACGAGATTTATTTTTTTTAATCAATCATTGTGGTGCCCATGTTCCTTGAACAATTCCAGAAACTTCAGGGAATGAACAGAGGAGGAGCAGGGCTGAGAACTTACTGAGCTGCCCTTGCTGTTGGAGTGAAGGTTGTGAACACTAGGGCTGGTTTTCCAGCAAATAGATGTCYGTCTATTCCTCTAATTGAGTTTGCATGCTAATGGTTATTTTCTCCTTTCTAAGTATCTGTGAGTATTGTGCAAAGAGAAGGTGTTGGGAGAAAACCAATAAACCAAACTGACCAAGTACTCAGGCATATCTGTCAGGTGGTAATCTTTTGAACTGAAGGCTTGATACAGAGAGAGAGTAACTGCAGAGTGTAGCGTCTTTCCAGGAAGGAAATACACCTTTTTTTTTTTAATAGAGAGGAGTGACACCCTTCATGAGAGATGCTGGAAAGGCAAGTTGCTGCTTATTTTATGACGTGATGTTGTCTCTTGTATTCTTGTATTCTTTAGATAACAGTAGCAGAGGAACTAACTGTCCCATGGATTCACAGGGCCCTGCTGCCCTTGGCCTTCCTGCTGTGGACCCCGACACTYGTGGCTCCCTCTTCTCCTTCCGCAGTCTTCAGTGGCTGGTCCCTAAGTTGGGCATCAAGGACTTCCACTTACCAAATGAGGAATTTGGAGTACTGAAACTGGAGAAATTGAAATCTTCCCCTGTGAATGACTTGGAGGGTTTTGTTCTGCACGTGTCTGGGGATGGTGTGGCTCCAGAGGGGACACCAGATGCACAAATGAATCCAAAACTAAAAAGTGTCAGAAGTAATTTGATTTTGCCTTCCAAAACTGGATTGCCTGACCTCCCTCACATGGAAAGCCCAGCTTCCAAGAAGGAGCTTTCCACCCATGAATTGCTATTTACTCCCATGGGGACTGTCTTAGCTGAGGCTCCCACCCACCCTGCATCTCAGATTTCCTCATCTGTTTTCCCTGCTGTGGGTGCAACTCCAGGTGTTTTACCTTCAGTGCACAGTGAGGTCTCCCCTGACACACCTTCTGTACCTGTCTTGCAAGCGACCCCACCTTCTCCCAGAGGAGCAGCTGCCCTGGTTGTGGGGGATGTGGCACACAAAGAACCTGCTGTCCCACTGCATCCCGACAGCTGTGCTGCAGAGGCTGCCAGAAACCAGGAGGAGCAAGGGACAACTTTTCCTTTAGCAGCTGAAARAAGTCCTGAGAATATTTCTGATGAGACTGTGTCCTTGGAAGAGCATCAGCAGTCAGAGAACAAAGAGCAGGAATCCTGCAGAGCTTCACCCGAACAGGTAATAAGCTGGGCTCTTTGCCAGGGGTACTAAGCCARTGGTTTTGTGGGCAAATCTCCTTTTTCAAAGTCTTGTCTGACTTCAGGGGAAAGTAGTGTTTGCATGCTACTCCTGCATGGACCATAGCTCTCCAGCATGCAGTATCTGCATGAGAGTGACAGAGAGTATGCTACACTTCTGCATGTGTTGAATGTAATTTCAAGATTGAACTATCCTCATTCTTTACTTTGTTCATGCAGAGAAAAGATGAAGCAGAACAGTTGACTCCAGTGCTGCTGGATGGCCCCAGAGAAGAGARCTTGCAGCTTGTGTCAGAGATAAAGGTGGGAGAACAGCAGGGGATTGTGTGCTGTGGCAGCAGCAGCTCTGCAAGATGAAGTTTAACAAAAATGCAGCAGGTGATCTTGTCTATCAGAGGAAAACCAGCACTGGTTTGTTTTGGGCAGGACTCCTCRTGTTCCTGTGCCGTGGATGTGAGCACGGTGTGGTGGGAAGCAGCGGGCTGCAGGGAGCTGCGTGTGGTCACTGCCTCCGAGAGCGCCGTGTGCCTCTGGAAACCTCTGGCACCTGACTGCTGGGGAAAGGTCCACACCTGGCACCTGGGAGAGGTATGAGCACAGTCCYTCTAGAATTAAGGGCAATTTTCTTGCCCTGTGTGTTAGTTCCAAAGATACAAGGAGCTTGTAGCTTGTACGAGTGTGTGTTATCTACTGGAATTTGATACTCCCTGCACAGAATGGTGGCTGCACTTCACTTGTGCTTTTTCCCCTTACAGTCCCTGGAGACACTTTTTGTCTCTTGCRTCAACAGGGATTGTTTAATTAAGCAAACAGTCAGCAGAGTTCAGCTGTTCATTGAAGTGTGCTTCTCGAGAGGGGTCTGAAAACCAGTTCTGCCCCACATAATTTTGCTTGAAACACTCTAGAAAATGAGAATAAAATGAAAGGGACACTGTGGGTGACATTGAATTTTTGTTTTGTTGTCCCAGACTCCTGTAATCCAGATTGTTCCTCTGTTGGATGCCTCTAACCTCGTGTGTGTAGCACTGGGAGAGCTGGAGATTGGAGAAATAAGGTTGTGTATTTATTTCTTACTAGTACTTTGCACTGTGAGTAGTTGCAGCTTAATTCCTTGTGGTTGAAATTATAGTTTTATTAATGTGGCACTTTCTTACTTGCTTTAACAACTGGAATATATAGAAGGGATTTCTAAAAATCAACTATAAAGACATGTCTATTCACCTCAGAGGTGGCAAATTGATTCAACATAGGTTGATCTGTATATGCTACTGCATATTTGAGTGGGGCTTCCTCCTGTCATGCATGTGTTTGTCTCTTGATTTAGGCTCTTGCTTTATTCTTCTGAGACTGACTCATTCAAGCACTCTCTAGTGAAAACTGGGAATATAAGAGCAGTTGTTGGGCTAAAGGACCGGAGGCTGGTGAGCAGCAGCAGGACCATGCAGGAGCAGCAAGTAGAGGTGGTGTCGCTCTCAGAGACAGTGGGGTGAGTTTGGGGTGCTGCTTTAGGGTGGTCTCAGTGTGGTGGTRGGATAAAAGTGAGGAAACACCTCAGATGTAGAACAGTGTCATGTTCCTCTTCCAGAGTAGGCACTTATTGCTTTACCTGCTTTTCTTTGTGMTGGTTACCCTTCAGGAGCAATGACAGGCAGACTCTGATGCCCCCTAAAGAAACTGTTACAGCCTTTGCTGAAGTAGAAGGGTTGAGAGAGGCCTTGGTGGGCACCACTGCAGGGAACAGCGTTGTGGTTTGGTGAGTGTTTCCTGTGCCATACACAATTTGGAGGTTGGGGGGCAGTAGCAGCAACTGCAGGATTGTACGGGGGTGCTGGCTGGCTGCTGACCCACTGTGAAATGGTGATTGTCAGAGGGCTGCACTGTGGCACCACAGTCAGATAAACAGGGAATAAATGGTGCTGCTGTAATTCCAYTGCTTTTGTATCATCCTCATTACACCCTTCCTGTCTGTTGGCTTAGTTTGGTTAATGTGGAACAAAACCCATGTCCGTCCTCCGTAGTGGTGTAACTGTGATTAGAGGGTTGAAATGTGTCAGAATTTGTGTTTTCACCAACTGCAGGAATCTGAAAACAGGTCAGCTCCTGAGAAAGATGAACATTGGTTATTCCTACCCRGCTTCCATCTGCCATCAAGCATATTCTGACTCTGTATGTACATGAAATTCACAGTTCATGCTTGGGCTGCACTGACTGGGCTGGGGACATAAAGGATTGAGGTTTCTAAAGAGGGTTGAACTATCATCTCTGTTTCAATACACTGCAAATAATTCAAGGGTAAATAGGCTACCAGAAGGAATAAACAAACAATGCTGGCTGCCTCAGCTCCTGGCTTTCTGCTGGGCGTTAATAAAGTGAGAACAATGCATCCAAGTGCATTCCAAAGCTGCATTGTCCCATGTGTGGGAAGCAGAAGTGCTGTTGCCCAGAGCTGGTGCTTGGCAAGTCTTTTCCATGTTACACATGGGTGTGTCCAGTGATAGAAACCCACTGTGAAATGCTTCCTCGGAACATACATGCCCAAGGGATGAACTGTGTAAAACCAACATTCATGCTAAATGATCTTTCCCCACTTGCTTCTCCATGTGCTATGATTCCTGATGGATTTTTGTGGTTTATCAAGGATTTGATTGCTTTCAGTAACTTTTTGGGACAAAAATGTCTTATCCAMTAATGGTACTTTGAGTCAGACTCTCTGGAGTCTTCCTCAGATTATCAGTCCCAGGATATTTCATGCTAGTTTATGGCTGTTCTGGGAGCTACTTTTTTCAGCTGTGCTGCTTTCCATGGAATTTTTGTTACGTTTTAAGCTTGTAGGGATTAAAATGTGGCCCAGAAATTTTACTTCTTTTCATTTTTAAAGTGTTACCTCATCCTATGGCAGGTTTAGCTTTCTTAAACAGGAAGATAAATGCATAAATCCATCATGTGACTGAGCTGTGACTCTGCTGTGATGCAGCAGCTCTTATCAGCCAGTAGCTGCTTTGGCTTCTATGTAATTTGATAAGGAAAGTAAACCATTTCTGTTTTCTTTGCTGTTCATGARGCTGTTATTAGAGAGAGTGTAGCAGTTAATTTTTGGAAAATTATCTGGGTTTTTCTCCTTCTGGTGTTGTTTTTAGTGATGTATTTTCCCTCTCTGTATCAGGGCCTTCTGTTTGTTGTTTTAAGTCATCCTCATGCCAAAGAGAGCGAGTCCTGTGGAAGCCCAGCGTTCCGTGTGGTGGCCTTCAACCCCCGCACGGGCCGGAGCGCAGGGGTGATGTTCTCCTGCCTCCCCCCGGGCTGTGCAGGCAGGCAAGTCCCTGGGCTGGGGCTGGGGCTGGGCTGGCTCCTTCGGGGAGCTTTGGGCAGAAGCCCTGATGAGCAGAGCAGCGCTGGCAGGGATCCAGTCGCCATCTCCCCAGTGATAAGGGGCTGTATCCGGCCCTGCTGCGTGTCCGGTGCGCGGGCTGGGGGGCCGGGGGCGTCGGCTGCTTCCTGCCCCACTTCCCACACCAGGCTGTGAGCTGACCCCTCGCCCTGTCACTGTGGAGACATGGGGCTGGGCTTGGGGCCTCTGGCTTTGTCCCCCAGAGACTGGGGGGATGTGTCCCTGGGTTCCTCGGCTGAAGCCCTGGCACTGCCTGTGGCTGCAGTACTCCGTCTGTCAGATTTGTTTGTGTGGAGTAGCTGGCTACAGGCACATGGCCTTTTCCTTCCCATGTCCTGCGTTTTGAGGTGTCAGCAGGTTCAGCCTTGTAAGGCTCAGCCTTACACAGGAAATGTGATACATGTGTGAGAATAGCTGTGAACCAAGGTCTTGGTTGCTGAATAGTCATGGAATCACAGAATGGTTTGAGTTAGAAGGGACCTTAAAGACCATCCAGTCCCACTCCCTGCCCTGTGCAGGGATATCTTCCAGTGGACTTGGTTGCTCCAAGCCCTGTCCAGGCTGGTCTTGAACATTTGCAGAATTTTTTTTAGGAGTGCCCTTTTTCAAGTAAGTTCTGAGTCTCCAGGAGGATTTCCTTGGCCTCCTCCCTTCCCGGTTGCACTGGAGGCACAGCCCCGACTGTAGCCTGCCTGCAGTTGCTATTAATCTTTAACCGGACCCTGAGCTAATTGAATAAACACTGCCATGGTGTTTTTGCACATCCCCTGACTGCTGTGTCCCCACAGGTACCTGGAGGGTGACGTGTGGGACACCGTGGGAGCTGCCGTGCTGACATCGGGCGCAGTGGCCGTGTGGGACCTGCTGCAGGGCCGGTGTGTGGCGGTGCTGCCCCCGGGCCCTGGAGGGCACTGGGCACTGGCCCGCTGGGCTGCCGACGGGGCCGGGCTGTTGGCTGGGCGCCGTGACGGGACCATCCACCTGTACCGGTACCGGCCACCCCAGACGGGCGCTGCCTGACAGAGGCAGGGGCGAGGACCCCCGTCACCAGTGGGGTTGTGTGTGCTGCGTGTGTGTGATGCCATTAAACGTGTTGCCTTTGGAAMAATACTGTGTCTGCTGCTGCTGCCGTACTGAGGGGCTGCCAGGGGCTGCGGAGAAGGAGCTGGGGGTCCTCGTGGGCACCAGGCTGTCCCTGACCAGCCMTGTGTCCTGGGAAGACAATGGTGTTCCAGGGTGCACCAGGAAGAGCATTTGCAGCAGGGAGGGGAGGGGAGGGGATAGTTTCCCTCTCCTCAGCCCAGTGAAGCACATCTGAAGTGTTGTGTTCTGCTCTGGGCTTCTCAGGACAGGAGGGACCTGGAGCAAATGCAGCAGAGGCTGTGGAGATGAAGGGACTGGATCATCTTCCTGATGAGGAAAGGCTGAGGGAGCTGTGGCTGTTCAGCCTCGAGAGTGGACACAGCTGAGAGGGGCCCCATCGATTTCTATAAATGTCTAAAAGGGCTRCCAAGAAGCTAGACCARGGCTCTTCTCGGTGGTGCTGAGCAATGGGACAAGAGGCTTCAGGCAGAAAGCGGTGCCCAGGAATTTCCACCTGGACATGAGGTAGAACTTCTTCCCTGAGAGTGACGAGCCCAGGAGCAGAGGCCAGAGAAAGTGTGGAGTCTCCCTCGCTGGAGCTGTTGCGGTCCCGCCGAGCATGGGAGCGGACGGGCACAGCGGTGCCTGCAGCCCGGTCTGTGCCGGGCCCGGGGCTCGGGTGTCGGGTGTCGGGCCCGCCATCCCGGCCCGGAGCGCTGTGCGGCCGCCGCCCGGCAGGGAGCGCTGCAGCCGCCTCTCCCTCCCGCCCTGCCGCGCGGCGCCCGCCGGGACAGCGACCATGGCGGCCCGTGTCCTCTCGTCCTGCGCCCGCCGCCTGCTGCCGCTGCCCGCCCGCCCCGCCGCGCTCCGCTCCCTCAGCCGCCTCCCGCCCGTCGTGCCCGCCGCGCCCGTTCCGYCGGGCCGCCCCGCGCTGCTCCGGCTGCCGCGGGTGGTCTTGCCGCCGTGCCGCCGCTTCTCCGAGCTGCCGCCCCTGACCTTGGCCGACATCAAGGACCGGGTGCTCTACGTGCTCAAGCTCTACGACAAGATCGACCCCGAGAAGGTGAGCTGGGCGGGGGGGAGGCGGGAGGGCTGGGGACCGTGGGCTGCGGTGTAACGGGAGCTGCCGCCCCGGGCACGGCCATGCCGTGTCCCGCTGACCGCCCGGTCCCGCTGACCGCCGTGTCCTCCCCCAGCTCACAGCCGAGTCCCACTTCATGAAGGACCTGGGCCTGGACAGTCTGGACCAAGTGGAGATCATCATGGCCATGGAGGACGAGTTCGGTAACCACGCTGGGGACGGCCGGGCCGTGGGAGCAGCGGCACCGCTGGCCTGTGTCATGTGGGGCAGGGAAAAACACACAGAGCGGGCACCGAGAGCGGAGCGAACCGCGCAGAGCCGGCCCTGAGAGCGGAGCAAACCGCACAGAGCGGGCACTGAGAGCGGAGCGAACCGCACGGAGCCGGCCCTGAGAGCGGAGCGAACCGCGCAGAGCGGGCACTGAGCTGGCCGCTGCATCTGCGGGATTCGGGAGTGTACCCTGTCCCTTTGCTCCAGAGCTCAGGCCTTTGGAGCAGAAATTCCTCTCTCCCACCCCCCAAGGGTACCACCCGGGGAGAGGGGTGCAGTAGAAGCTGAGCTTGGCTTTGTAGATCAAAAATCCCAGACAGTGTAGACTGCTTTTCTTTGCCAGAAGTTTTTCATCCTCAATCCTTAGTCCTTCTAGAGAAAAAAAAAAAGTGTAAAAAAAAAAGTGTTTTCTCCTTATCAGTTTATATTTCAAGTTTGTTTTTACTTTTGCTGGCAGTGTATCTTTGCTCCCCGAGTGAGCTGTGAGTGTGGCCAGGAGCACTGAAAAAACATTTCTGGGGTGTTCCTGACCAAYTCCACCAGCAAGAGCCCTCATGCCCTGCCCTGGTGTTGGCTCTGTGCAAGCCCATGACAGCAGAGTCAGCCTGAGGGGCTTCAGGCACTGCCTGGAGGTCCAAGAATGTCCCCCTGCCACACGCTGGGGTCTGGGGGGGCTCTGGGATGGCACTGATGGCTTTAACAAGGTACAAGGGGCACTGGCTGCTGCTGTGCCTGCTGTGTCCCATGCCCTGAAGAGGTGTCACTTTGGGCAGTGCAGTGATGCAGTGTCAGCTCTGGCTGACACAGCAGCCCCTGCCTGCATGTCCCCTGAGCCAGCAGCCATCCCTTCCTCGGCCTTGCTCTCATTTCTGTTGGTTTTGGGCTAAGTATGTGCCCCTTCTTACAGGATTTGAAATTCCTGATGGAGATGCAGAGAAGCTGATGTGCCCACAGGAGATTGTAGATTACATCGCAGATAAGAAGGATATTTATGAGTGAAGCAGTTYCTCAGAGGTGAGTGCAGATGTGCTCTGAGGATGCCTGGGCACACATCAGGGCAGGGTGACATGTGACAGGTGTGGCACAGGCGGGAGCCCAGCAGCTCGGGAGGGAGCTGGCAGCAGCTGTGGGTGTCAGCAGGGCGGGTGAGTGGGGTGTGTTTTCCTGAGGGTGGGCGGKGTTTTCCTGAGGTACCTGCATCTGGAGAGAGGATGTAGGGCTCAGCAGCCTCTTCTCTCGTCCCRCCTGGCACATCCAGTGCTCGGCTCATCCCTGGGGCTGTTGTGGGTCACARATTGGTGTTGGCTACAGTTGTCCCTCTCCCCGTGTCCCTCAGCCCTGTGCAGGGCATGTGGGAGCACCTCAGCACCCGCTGCTGCTGTCATTTCCTCCCCCACAGCCGGTAAGGAAATGGGCAGGAAAGGGTTCTAGGAGCACAGTGGAGGGCTGCAGGGGAAATGAGGTGGCCTCAGGCCAGCCTGCAGYGCTGATCCACATTCTTGCCTGTTCCTGTGCGGATTCAGGCCTCCCCCCCAACTCCCTGGGGCAGGGGGTCTGTTCCCCTTCACTGTCCAGGGCCAGGGTGGGAGCCGTGGCCTTTGGAGAGAGCTGGGGGCTCCTTCTGTGCCTGTGTTCAGCACTCAACATGTCCTGACCCACTTCTGTGCCTTTGAATGCTTGATGAAATGTTAAACACGTGGATTTTGTTTTCCCAGGAGTTGTGGTACGCCAGGACTGGGCTGATGCCGGCAGGGATGGATGGGAGCGCACATGCTGTCCCACTGAGGCTTTCATTGGGAAGCTGCACGTGGATGTTGTATTTAAAGCTGTCTGAATGTGTTGTCCTTTAAAACCAAGAAAAAAAAAAAAACAGGAATAAAGAGTTAAGACCATTGTGTTGATGGCTGTTCTGTTTCAGAGTGGGTGGGTCCCAGTGGCGGTATTTGGGTGTGAAGGACACTCTGGGGACTCTACCCTGAGATTTGGCTCTGCYCTACATGCTTGTAACTGTTTATTTCATCAGTGCTGGTAAAAACAAATTCTGTGTGAAAGACTTCTGCTTTCCTGATGGAAAATAAAGCGSGGGATAACTCTCTCTCATATCACTGTTGCTGTACACCCAGTTCATCTCAGCCCAGGAGCCTCGCTTTAACCCTCCTGAGGCAGGAACGGGTTATTTCTGAACACTGCAATTTTTCCTCAGAGCCAAGACACACTGATATGTCACAGCAGCACTGCCAGGCCCGGAGCCAAGGAAGTGTCACTGGATAACAGATCCTCTGGCAATGGGGGAGGTAAGGATGGAAAATGGAGCAGAGGCTGCGGTGCTACACATGGTGCCTGTGTGTGGTGTGGTGTTCCTTCACTGTGAGATCCCTGGCATTCCAGTGACCCTCTGCCTCCAGGGCCCAGGTGTTGATCTCCCTGTGCCCTTGGAAACTTCTCCGTGGCTCCACAGGACAACGGAGCTCTGATACATTTTCTGAGCAGTTGCACAGCAGAACTGGGGGAACTCGGTGGGTTTGGCTGCTGTGTCCATGGTGGTTTCCCTATGGCATGGATACGAGATATCTGATGGTGGGGGGTGGTCACTGAGGTTTCTTGGTGCGGTGACCCTGAGTGATGTGAGGGACCCATAGCCAGAGGTGACAGCGGTGCCCAGGGAGAGCCCTGGCCCTGGCGTGGTTTGGGTGGACAGGGACAGAATGAGGGCAGCCAGGGGCAGAGCATGTGTCCCAGGGATGAGCAGCTGGCAGGGGTACAGGCAGGAGCCGTGAGTCCCCCGGACCCCGCAGGCACTGGTTCCATGCTGAGCACCGGGCTCGGATAGCGGGGGCCGTGCCGAGCACCCCGAGGTGGGTCCCGCTGCCGAGCCCCGGTCCGCCCACCCCGSGGGGAGGGAGCTCCGGGCCGGKGCTGGTGCCGGTGCTGGTGCCGTGGGGCGGGTCCGGGCCGGGGGCTGCGGTTCCCGGCGCCTCCGCCCCGCCGCAGCGGGGGCGGGCGGGGGYTTCCTGCCGCCGCCTGGCAGAGCCGCCCACGCCGCGCCATGGAGCGGCCCCGGCTCCCGCTGCCCCGGCTRCCCCGGCTCCTGGCCGCCGCAGGTGAGCGAGGCGCGGGGAGGTGGGCACGGCCGGGAGGGGTCCCCGCTCCCTCTGCTCCCTGGGCGGGGGATGCTGCGCTCGGGGAGCGGCGGCGGCGGCAGGGCCGGTGCATCCCGGGGGTCTGCCGCGGCGGTGGGGCCGGTACCGGCAGCGGGCGCGTCCGTGTTTTCGGTGGCGCTGGGGCTGAGGGCGGCGGCTGCTGCTCGGTATCACCGGGAGCTGCCCGGGCTGGGCCCGGCCACGGAGTCCCGGGACGGGCAGCGGCGCGGGCACGGCGGCGGGGGCCGGTAAGAGCAGCGGCCGCGTGCCGTGCTGTGGCCATTCCGTGCCGTGCTGTGGCCATTCCGT